CGTGCCTCCCTGTGTTTTCCACTCCTGAGTTGTTGTTGCTGTCAAGGTGGGCCAAGGTAGGACCCAAGTGAAGGCAAGCAAGAGGTGTTTGAATAAAATAAAACATATTTATTTTAAGAAAAATAAAAACAAAAGGCTGACATGACAGCAACAACAACTCAGGAGTGGAAAACACAGGGAGGCACGAGGAGGACCGAGACATCTGCAAGGGATGCAGGACAATGAGCCGAGGGTGAAGTGGTGACAAGGAGCGGTTAATATAACAAACTGAGTGAGAGTCAAAGTAGTGATGCTTGGGTTGATCACTGATTGGGAACAGGTGAGGGGGCAGGCTGTTTGGAGAAAAAAAAAACATTGAGGATATTTACTGGAGGTGAATGGAAGATGGTACAAGAAACGTCCATCCATCATCTTTAACCACTTCTTCCTTTTCAGGTCGCGGGGGTCACTGGTGCCCATATCCAGCAGTCACTGTACGGGAGGCGGGGGACACCCTGGACAGGTCTCCAGTCCATCACAGAGAGAGACAAACAACCATTCACTCACACCTAGGTTCAATTTAGAGTTATCAATCAGTCTAACATGCATGTTTTTGGTCTGTGAGAGGAAACCAGCGCGCCCAGAGAAAACCCACACATGCACGGAGAGAACATGCAAACTCCACCCAGAATGGTCCCCAGACCAGGATTTGATCTGGGGCAACCGGCTCACTGAGAGGCAGCAGCTCTACCAACTGCTCCACCGTGCTGCCGTACAAGAAACACTGGGCAATAAAACAAGACCTAAACTAGAATACCGGTAGTCAAGTTTATTTATAAAGCACATTTAAAACAGCAGCTGTTACCAAAGTGCTTAAAATAAGATCAAGATAGTAACTGAAGAAAGAAAACAAAGATGTCATTAAAAGCATCAAAAATAAAAACATAAAACACAAAAACTGAGAAACACCAAACTAGTAAATTAAATCACACTGTGTTAAACATCAGTAAATACAGGTGTGTTTTTAGGAGAAATTTAAAATCCGATACTGAAGTGGCCTGTCTAATGTTGAGGGGCAGATTGTTCCAGAGTTTAGGGCCCATGACTGGTAAATGGACTGTAGTTATAGATCACCTTTCTATCTTATCAAGATACTGAGGGTGCATTCACACCAGCCCTGTTTAGTCCACTTTAATCGAACTCTAGCTCGTTTTCCTAGAAAGTCCGGTTCGTTTAGGGAGGTGTGAACGCGCCATCGAACTCTGTCACGGAACAAAAAGGTGAACTCTGGCCCGGGCTAAAACCTACGTCTTGGTCCGGTAGAAGCGAACTCCAGCACGGTTTGAGTACAGTGTGAATGTAAACAGACCGAGCCCCGCTCCGCACGACAAACAAACACGCATTTCTCTGACCTTATATGGAGCCGTCAGCTGCCTTGTGTGGAAAACAATATTCTCCATGGTCTTCTGTCTCATCTTCTGCTCATGCTGAGTCCATTTTTGAAAAATGACAAAATATAACTCCAAAAACTGCTAAAATTTGATGCCACTTAGTTTTTATTTTTATTTCCAGAAGAAGAAGAAGACGTGTCTTCAGAGGTTTTTGTGTCGTTTCTTTCAGTAGTTCTTGGTGCAGCGAGCGGGGGAATGGGTTGGTTCTACAAGTTGACTCGACTGCACAGTGCAGTGTGAATGCAAACGCACCAGCTCAAATGTAAACAAAATGTCATGAATATTGGTCCCGAACCGAACCGAGTCTACCGGACTATCTGGTGTGAAAACGACCTCAAAGTGCTTTACACTACAATCTGTGCCCTCATTGACCCATCCATAAAGCACTCTACTACTATACAAAGATAAATGAACAATTATCTAAAGAGACTAATCAGTGCTTTGAGATCACATTCATACATTGATGGGACACACATCAGAGGCAATGAGGGGGTACAGTGTCATGCCCAAGGACACTTCGGCATATGGCTGCTGATGGATTCGAACCCCCAACTCTTGCATTGGAGAACGACTGCAGATACACTATGCAGATTAAAAAAAATAGGTTAGGTTAAAAAGGTAAAGCAAACAAGAGACAGTTCTTTAAAAGCTACGCACATTTGAATGCTGAGCTCTCTCTTTATGACGCTCCAACACCCCATTTAACTTGATCTTTCTCTTTCGTGTTTAGCAGCAGATTAACTCGTATGTCTTCATCAAGACAATTCGGCCATCTTTGTTTACCCACAGACTACAGCCAACCTAATGTAGGTCAATCATGTTACTCAGGCTTTCACATGTAACTTGATAAAAACCAGCCGTGTGTTCTGTTTATATTGAGTGCATACCCGTATTTTAGAACTGCATTTTTGGAAATCTGCTAGAGTAAACTCTTTTCAAACTGCGGCTCTGTTTAAGTGAACAATCTCTGGAAAAAGATTTTCTGATGTTTATTGTGAAAAAGCCTACATATAACTATGACGTGCTCATTAAAGCTGCTTTAGTTTCCATGCCTGGTCACTAGTTGGTGCTGTAATGTTTGCATTTTAATTGTGTGCACACATTTTCACACCAATGCTGGGTATTTCCAAAAACCACCAATCTAAGACTTGGATTCAGAATCTTTGATGTCTGAGGAAATGGCTGCTGTTGTGTTCACGAACAACTGAAATACAGCAGAAAAGCTAGTTTTACTTAAAAATAACCTTCAAACAGGGACTGACCCAAATTTTGACACCTGATTTCCTAGTTTGCAGTGAGTACCTCAATGGCCGACATAGTGGCACAGCTGGTAGAGCCACTCCTCATCTGGAAGGTTGCCAGATAAAATTCTAGCCCAGGTACTTGGTTTCTTCCCACAGACCAAAAAAATATGCATGTTAAGCTCATTGATAACTGTAAATTGTCCCTAGGTGTGAGTGAGAATGGCTGTTTGTCTTGTTTGTCTCCAATGGCGCTTTGCCACAGTCTCAACTCTCATCCGTTCTACACCACACCGCAACCAATTAAGGGCCTGCCCACTGCCGGCACCCACTCCCACACATCCTGATTTATGGGACCATCTTGTTTGAGGTTCCAAGCAGGCTGCTTTGAGGTGACAATTTTGACATAAGCAGACAGCAGCCATTGATTGGCCAGCAGAGGTTTGTCACTGGATGACCTGCCCAGCAATAACTGCTAACTACATCTGAACTTTCTCTCTGATCGTGCTGACAAACGGAGCCACAAGAAATGAGCGCAAAGATGATGGTGCAGCAAAACTACACTCAGACTTACAAGTGTTGGGATAAGCTAAGAAATACAAGTACAATCATACGGTAATTATCACAATGGACGGAGTGGCTCAAACACAATGACCTGTTACGATACTGCCCACAGAGTGGGGAAACAAGTCACAGCAGGAAATCACTTACACCCGAGAAGAACCGATAAGATGAGAGCCGAGTGGAGTCGCACTTATCAACGGCAAAGCGGTTTGTGTCCCTGTGATGGACCTGCGACTTGTCCAGGGTTCCCCTGCCTCTTGCACAGTGACTGCTGGCCCCCGCGACATGGAAAAAAAGAAGCAGGTACAGGTAATGGATGGATGGACGAGTGGAATGAGTACCTTTTTAAACTAGCATGCACACAACAATCAGTGGCTTGTTATGCTGCCATAGGCTTAGACTCCTGGAGGACACATTGGCCACATTTCTTAAAATGAATTGTTACAGTTGAATAGTTTTCATTTGATATTATTTCTATATATGTAATTCTCGACCTGCCATTGTGTATCTGTTCCTCCCAAACCCAGCTGGTTGAAGCAGATGGCCTCTTGTTCTGAACCTGGTTATGCTAAAGGTTTCTTCCTCATGAGGGAGTTTTTCCTTTCCACTGTCGCCTTTATGCTTGCTCAAGATGAGAGTCTGAGATGGAGTTACTCAAAGCAGTCTGCTCCTCAGATAAATAATGTAAACAATTCAATTCAGTTTATTTATATAGCACAACAAAGTTGTCTCAGAGCACTTTACAGGAACATTCACATACATAGAAAAGCCAGTTAGTAAAGTTCTTTATCTAAGGAATGGGCAAATAGGATGAACTTACTTTTTATGTATATGAATGTTTCTGTTCAGCGCCCTGAGATGACTTCTGTTGTGACTTGGCGCTATATGAATAAAATTGAATTGGCTCCAAAATGGCTGTAGCCCAGGGGCCACCACCCTCCTGTCCTGCTCAGCTGCATCAATCAGCTCACTTAGGCAGGAAACAGCACCCCCTGGTGGCCTTACATCAACATCACACAAATCATGGGTTTCAAAGAGGGGGAAAAACAAAACACTGATAAAATTTTATTTTAAGTAAAAAATAAATAAACTTGGACAAAACAAATGCGTCTTCACTAGTAATTTAATATATTTTTTTAATATAAATTCAACATTTTGAGGCTTTAAAAGCGGTGATTTCTGATGCTGTAAAAACAGTTGAAGACGAGTTTAAAAAAAAAAAAAAAATCAACACACGGTGATTATTATTCAGTGTTGAATTACCTGCGGTTAACGGGGTAAAACATGCACATATGAATGTGGCTGTGCGGCTGAGGAGGAGCTCCGTTGTTTATTCATACACGTCAGCCTCCTTCTTCCTTCCCTCCTCCTCGCGCCACTCGACGGGGACCCGCCGCCGACCGCTCGCTTTCACTCCCAGCGCCGTCACGTCGCCACCATAAACCCGTTTTGGAGCCAGGTGAGTTTCTGTTTGTAGTTTGTCAAGTTTTTACACGGGACATGGCGCTGAAAGGCTTGTCCGGCGAGGCAGAGGAGGAGGAGGAGGAGGTTTTAATGTATCGAATTCCTCCTGACCAGGCGAGAAAACGTAGCCGCGTTTTGTTTTCTTGCGGCGGTGTTTTCTCTCCACCACCTCGGGATAGCCGCCTCTCTGTGCCGCTTTTGTCGCCGCGGCGAGCACGAAATGCGCAATTTAGGTCAGCAACTAGTCAAAATGTCGTCTTTTCTTCCCACCCCCCATCTGTTTTTTTTTTACTTCAATGTTCTCTCTTGCCACAAACAAATGGCGTCGAAAGAGGAGGGTGGAGATAATGGGGGTAAAAGACCCACCGAGGGCCTGTGTTAGCCCAACATGTCCACGGCCGTGTCCGCGCCACAGCACGCAGGCTGACATGTCCTGCGCAGGCCTGCGTGTTGAAAAGTTTTTTTTTTTTTTTTTTTTTACTCTTGTTTTCATACAGCACCGGCTTTTGTTGGGCTGCTTCGAGCTAGCCTCTGTGCACGCACTCCAGGCCACAGAGTGGACATCTTGCACCTGGAGGATGAGCTGCATCCACATCATCGACAGGTATCCTCCAGTGAGCTCACGCTGGAGGTCCCGTGCACCTGTGTGGGTTTGCATTCTGCACCCTGAGCTGTTTTCACGTAATGAACTGCAAATCCAGAGTAGCTCTGCTGACCCTTCACATACCTGCAGTGTCTAATCGTGTAATGGGGATGGTGCACTGCATGCAGCTGTGCACTGTGCTCACCAGCTGGCAGCTCAAGGCCCATAGATGTGCTCTGATGCACTTGAGTAGGTTGCTGTAATTACAAAGACATCCTCCCCCCCTATTCCTTGTGGTCTTCAGGTCATTTGAATAATGTTTGATGGTTATTTAACGTGGTGTATCTCTGGGCTGCAATGAGGAAATCTCCTGTTGTCTTGATTCTTCTGAGGTTCTTGGCTTCTTCGCTCGAGTTGCCCAAATGCAACCCGTTCACTTGAGTACTTAAACATCTGTGTGACATCTTTTCTGTCTTAAGAAGTCCCAAAGTCTTTGTGGGCATCTCCAAACCGTTTCAAGAGCGCTAAACCTTTACATCTAATAAAATAAAATAAATTAGAATGTTATGAAAAGGTTAGTCATTTCAGAAAGTGAAAGGCTGCACAGGAGTCTGTCGCCCTCTCCACAATCAGACATCTACACCTCTAGATGCAGGAAGAAGGCCACCTGCATCATGAAGGACCCCACTCACCCAGCACACACACTTTTTGCCCCACTCCCCTCAGGAAGGAGGTTGAGGAGCATTAAGTGTAGAACCACTAGACTGAGGAACAGCTTCTACCCTGAGGCTGTTAGACTCATGAATCTCTAACCAGAATAATCACTGTGAACAATCACATCATGTTGCTGCTGATCTGTTTCATGTTGCTGCTGATCTGTTTCACGTTGCTGTGTTCATGCATGTTCATCTGCTCACACAAACTCATGTTCGTGCTGCTGTTCGACATATTGTTTTCATGCTATTGGTGCTTAGTGTATTTTTAGTTTATGTTTTTCTTAAATAATATCTTAGATCTTATTACTGTTTTTCTTTTGCATTTTATTGTTTGATGTAACTGGGACCCTGTGTACATAATTTTGTTCCACCACATGTACCACATGTGATGCGAGTGACAATAAACTGACTCTGAAACTCATTACACGCAGAGCGAAATATTTTAAGCCTTCGTTTCATGTAATTTTGATTAATGTGGCTTGAAAATCCTAAACGTATTGTTTCAGAAGATTAGAATATTGTGATAAAGTTCCAGATTGGAAACTCCTGCACATTATGCACAGATGAGTCGTAGACATGGGCTACAAATGTCACATTCCTCAAGTCAAGCCTCTCCTGAACCAGAGACATCAGATGTGTCTTACCTGGGCTGAGGACACCAGAAAACCCAGTGGACCAACACCAGCATGGCACCTCAAACCATCAGTGACTGTGGAAACGTCCCACTGGACTTCAAGCAACGTGGATTATGAGCCTCTCCACTCTTCCTCCAGACTCTTGGTACCTTGATTTCCAAATGACATGCTTTACTTTCATCTGAAAAGAGGACGTTGGACCACTGAGCAACAGTCCAGTTCTTTTTCTCCTCCGCCAGGTAAGACACTTCTGATGTATGTGCTTCAGGAGTGGCTTCACTTGAGGAATGCAACATTTGAAGCTCATGTCTAGGATTATATGTTTATAGTGTGCACAAGTTTCCAATATGGAACTTTGTCACCATATTCACACCATATTCACACACAAAAAATAGGCCAAGATGAAAAAAACAACAACACACAACTGGCAGCTCAAAACATGTCCACATTGCTTGTAGGTCTCAAACACTCAGTTTAGTGAGGCTGCAATGGAAAATTTACATATTTTCTCTCATTATTTGTCTCATTTTTGAGTCACCAACTAGTCCCACAGTGGCAGCTCAGTGAGATACCGCCTTTAGATAGAAGTGACTCAGCGGTGCTCATAAAGGTGCCACTGGCTTGCAGACCTTACATCCATGCTGTGGAAAGTGGCCCATTTCTTACATCAGTTTGAACCAAGAAGATTGCAGGAATGCAGGGCGTCATCCAGCCACTTATATCGTTTGGTCTTCCTAAGGGATCTTGTGTCATATCGGCTCTTTATCTTAGCATTTTGGCCTCTTTTTGCCGCCTCATGAGTATTTAAGTAATGTCAGCCTGTGGAGTTCTACACCTCAGGCTTTTTAAAGAGGGTGTCTTTTAGCTCTTTTTGCACTTGTTTTTCCTCTGACCTGTGAAGCAGCTCTGGGCAGGATGATCACCAGTTATGACCACATCCATTGCAGTAGTCTGCCTTCCTGAATACAGTTTTGAAGCTTGTTGACCATCTCTTGTCACCTTGTTGAAAGCATCTACCCTCATTCAAAAAATACATTTCCTTTGCTAACTTGGCTCTTCCCGCTTGTGGTAATTTTGTGTCCATGTATTTGTTGGTTGGTTTCTAAATACACTAACAAATCACACATCAAACTTGCTGTAAAATGATTGCTTTATCCTTTGCTCTCACAACTAGTTATGATCCGATTGTCAAGATCAGCATGAACCACTTGTACTCAAATAAACCAACATTCTCCTCCTTCCTCCTGTCATCCTGATCATCTAAACCAGTTGTTTGCGTCAAGGCCAGTGCAAGTCCGTTGGATTGATCAAATACATTAGAATGCAGAACATGAATGCATGGCACATGAAATATAATGATCTATAATCTATTTCAGTCCAAGGAGTCCTTTACGATGTTGATATTGCGTTACTGATATTGCAATGACGATACATTTTCAATATATTATCCCTAGTACTCATAATGTCTGCAGGATTTATGCCTCCTGGTTTAACTGGCCTTTACAAAAATGTCTTGCCCAGTTTGAGTTTACGCTGAGAAAAATGAATTTCCCCGATCAATAATTTGTTATTAGGCTGCTGCTGGTACACAATCTGTATGCTGCTCAGAGAGTCATGAGCTTTATGGTTCAGCAGCAGCAGTGTGGTGTTGCATCAGGGCCAAATGACGACCATCTCTTAAAAATTTACTCTAAATAAACATCCTTCAAGACAGTAGAAATTTGACCCATGTTTTTCAGTTAAAATGAATTCAAAATGGTTTCTCCCTCTGCTCTCCATCAGGATGTTGGAAAGTAGCTGTGCTAATAGGTTTAGAATAGCTGATGGTGGTGTCAGCACATTGCAGTGCATGGCTGCGCTGCAGGCAGGCAGGCTTAAAAAAAAAGCTGGTGTTTCTCAAATCACAAAGGCCTAATCTGTGGTGCCTGCTGGATACAGTCATGCTGAACCACATCCACCATCCACTGCCACATTTTATTTATTTTTGTTGTATAGGTGCTCTGCACAGCTACAGAGACCCTCTGGGATAATGATAAAACAAAAAAATCATGTTTATTTGTTTTAAAATGTGCATTACACCCAGAAGCAAGCTGATGGTTCGCTGTAATGCTCCAGTTTGCTTTTCTGAACAGTTTTTGTTGCAGTTTTGTCTCGCCGCTGTTTGAATGTTTTGCTGTTTGCGTTACAACTGTCACTGCATTAATCTTCCTGTGATACCTGTGTGGGTGGCTGTGAGAGTTAAACTGAACAAAAACAGATTTGTAGACTTTTAACAGGAGCTTTGCCACAGAGTTTCATTGTTTTGAAGAAACTGACGTGTCCTCCTTTAGAGCAGTGTTACACATTTAAATCTCATTCTCATGGGTTATGTTTTAGATTAATGCCGGTGCCGTGGCTCAAGAGCTGACAATCTGACGATAACATACTTCACAATAGCTTTTATTGGGGAAATAACAGATTTTTATTGGACTTCTCATCTATGCGTTTGTGTCACCACATATACTGAATTTTATGACATTCAGGACCTTATCAAGAAAACTTTTTTGTTGTAGTTTGTCCTCATCTATATGCAAAAACTTGTTTGAAGCTGCAGCTCTTGCCATCCAGCACAACATCCAAACGGTGCTGCGAGCATGTTGTTGTGCTGCTCTGGCTCCAAGCCCCACTGTGGCCGAAGCTGTGCAAAGCTGCTAACATTTCTTTATCCCTTTGTTTGATTCGGCGTTCGTTTTCTCCCTAAATCTGGACTTTTCTTTCTGATGACTTGAAAAAATATCGTTATAAATTTGTCATTATGTTCACATGACTTAATGTTTCATTAGCAGCTCGATATGCCTTGCTCATCATGTGACTTGCCATGTTCATTTTTGTTATAAATGCAACCATTTTTTATTTCTTCCTGTGTGAAGTTGGTCATTATCTTGGGTGGGAAATCTTTAGAAAAACGAAGGCTTTCCCTCCTATACTTTGAGGACACTACTTTTAAGCAATATAAAGATGAGAACACATGTCCACCATTTACATAGACAAAGTGATGCATTTATGCCTTTTACAAATTGTG